GGGTCTCACTGAGTCACTTAGCACCTCGCCATTGCTGAGGCTGGGTTTTGAACTCTCAATCCTCCTGCCTCAGCCTTCCGAAACACTGGGATTACAGGTGTGCACCACCATACCTGACTTACTTGACACAGCTTAATGGGATGTATGCCTGCACTGTATCAGGCACTGAAAACAGTGATACACAATACTCAGTCTCCAGGCCTCAATATTCCAGGTGGGCTCAAACCTCTGGCTTTCCCATGAGAAGTCAAAGGCCTATATCCAGAGCTAGCAGTAGTTTCCTCATGGGTCTCCTTGTCCTCACCCTTGTCCCCTGTGGTCTTCCTCCACACTCTTGGACATTTCAGCTGACATTGCTCAAGCTCACACTTCCAATACTGCTCCCCACCCGACCAGTGATTGCATTAATTACCTTTTGCAATTAAATCTGTTGCCTGAATCGAAGTATATAATGGTCTGTTTACTTCCTGTCTTTCTCATTAAAATTTGAATACCTTAAGGGCCAAAAACTGAATTCAGATTATTTTTTATATCCTGGACTAAGATCCTACTTGTAGAGGTATAAAAATAAATGTGCTAAATAAATACATGCTGCCGGGGCTGGGGTTGTGGCTCAGTGGTAGAGCGCTTGCCTAGCATGCTTGAGGCACTGGGTTCGATCCTCAGCATCACATGAACAAATTAAATAAAGAAAATAAAGGTATAATAAATATATAAATAAATACATGCTGCCTCTGAACTCTCAGTATCCCTCGGTAGAGATATCACAGTGAAATACAATTTATTTCCTTAACAATTTCTTCCACTAGACAACAGAACTAAGAGGGACAAGTGTTGTATGCTTGACTTGTACTTGACAGTATGCCTGACTCAAAGCTGGTGCATAGGACCTGGAAATAAATATCCATGCTTAATCAGAAAGTTTTGGTTTTGTAAATTGGTGGTGAGCAGTGTTCAGTTGCATTACTTTGCTTCCCTATTTTAGAATATACAATAAACATAGTTTTTCTTTGCTTTATATGCTTTGAAATGCATCCTCGAATGCTCACTTTATAATGTCTAAAAACATGGAGTAGAATGGAGAGCTGCTGAATGTATTTTTGTTGATGAGTTTTTCCCTAATAGTTGATTTGATTTTTGTCTTATGATATTTTTTTTCTTTCTTCTAAAGTAATAAAAAGCAAAAATGCCGTTGAGTTGGGTTAATTAATGTTCGACTGCATTTGAACATCAACCATTTACCTTCCAGGAAACAGCTGAAGTTTGTGCTCCCTGATTCTCTAACTACCTGGGAAATTCAAGGTGTTGGCATTTCAAATAGTGGTAAGAAAGCTGAAGTTGAGTGCTCATTGAAGGAGTGGTTCGATTAGCAAGATGTATCCTTGTTACTGTGTATTCAGTGTACCCAGGACTTAGGTAGTGTCATTAAAAAAATAATAATCTTCCTGTATTATTAGGAGACTTAGATATACCACATCTTTGAGCTGATTGATCTCTCCTTTTGTTCTTCCATTAGCTCTCATTTTATATATGCGGGTGTCACATCCCTATTTTCTTTCACTTTTCTCAGTAACTGGGAGCTTGAGTTAGGAGTAAATACATGACTTCCCTCTTGGCCCAATGTCCCTTTGTGGTGACGACTTACTTTTTTTATGAATAACTTCAGCACTGGCTTCATTTCTTTATTTACTGTTTTTCTTTTCACAAAGTCTTATTTTCCCACAATCAAAATTTTATGCCAATTATTGGAGCCAATCATAAATATCTAAAAGCCAGTCATGAATGCTTATTAGTTAATAAGCCCTTTCATGCCTTAAATAGGATTAAATATTTGTTGAACAAATAAAGTTTTCTGTTAATAACTGTTACAATAAAGATCAGCCGGGCCTGATGGCACATGCCTGAAATCTCAGTCACTGGGGAGGCTGAGGCAGGAGGATAGCGAGTTCAAAGTCAGCCTCAATAATTTAGGGAGGCCCTAAGCAACTCAGAAGACCCTGTCTCAAAAGTAAAAAAAAATAAAAAGGCTGGGGATGTGGTTCAGTGGTTAAGTGCCCCTGGATTCAATGTCTGGTATGCCCCCCACCAAAAAAGAATAAAGATCAATGAGCAGAAAATTTAAGAACATGGATCATAAAACCGAAAAAAACACGATGTAATCGTCTTTTTACTTTGAAGTAGAGCCAACATGAGACATTTCAGGACTAACAAGCAGGATGGGAGTTCCCTGATGTGCCCCTGCTCTGCTTTTCCTTTGTGCTGAAGGTATATGTGTTGCTGATACCCTCAAGGCTACCGTGTTCAAAGACATCTTCCTGGAAATGAACATCCCTTATTCTGTTGTGCGAGGGGAGCAGATCCAATTGAAGGGAACTGTTTACAACTACAGGACTTCTGGCATAATGGTGAGTAGGTATTCGTGGTGTGGAAGAAGAAACGGGGTTCTGAGAATGTCCTTGGTGTGATTATCATACGCACAAAAACAGAAATTCAGCTCAGTTCAGCAGTATAGTAACCACACACTTACAAGGAGTGTGGTACCAGAATGTGCAGCTTGGTACAAGAAGGGGTGCAGAAGGGAGGAAGGGTTGAGACAAGTGTTCATGCAGCTCCAGAACAAGGTGCCCAAGGCAGTTGGTGTACTGTGGAGGTTCAGGGAAGGGTGAGTTCATATTTAGTTCATTTCACACCTTTGAGTTCCTTGAGCTCCTTGATGCTAGCTCCTCTTTCCTTGCGTCCATTTTAGCTGTTCATATTCATCGTCACTTTGGGAAACTTGTCACTCTCCCTCGGGTTTAGTAACTGGATAAATAATATTTATTGCTAAAAATGAAAGTAAGCTCAACATTACATCTTTTCATTTTTCATCCATTCTATCTGCTCTGGTTAAGATGGGGAAATCACTGGCTTCATGTGACCCTGAGATTTTCTTCAGCTCCTAACCCCCCAACTCAGGTTGTCACTGTGTCATGAGGGGATAAGAAGGAGAGAGAACTTTACATTTTTTAGAAATTCCTCAAAATTAGTTGTTAAATGTTGATGCTTTCTTTTGTTTATCTTGATTTACTCTCAATTTTATGGATTGAATCTTTTAGGTATAGTTCTTGATTTTATCATTTCACCAGGTTTTGGAGGAAAGGTGAAAAATATTCACTGTTTGGGCCAGAAGTCCATGAGTCCTATTACTAACCAATAATAAATATGAGGAAATGGAAGACTAGAGAAGTCATGCAATCTGTCCCATGTCACAGTTAATAAGAAAGCCAAGGTTTGAATCTAGGTATTTTTAGAGCTAGAGTTTAGTTGTAAAACTGGGTACAAGTGGGAAGTTAATAAAAAAGAAGTTGGGGACATATTGGGCAGGACTGTGCATGGGCCAAGATATGTAGTTTTCAACCTTTCATCAAATCATCATTTAGTGAATATTGGAGGTTGGGCTAAAAGATACAAAGAGGAGTAAGACGTGGAGTGCCTGAGCCAGAGGCTCCCACTGTTCCAAACACAAAACACAGAGAGACAACGTAATGCTCTCAGAACAGCTTGGAGAACGACAGTAGCTTTGTAAGTCACTTAGGAGGTAGTGGCCTAAGAAAGGCCAGGCATGTCCGAGCCAGGGCTGAGTTTTCTAGACATCCTTTCCCATCACTCGGCTCCACAGCAGCTTGTGTGTATGTTAGGAAATCAGAAGCAAGCTTTCTCCCATGCCTGAGAACCTACGGGGTCACCCTAACATCACTAAAGCCTCAGGGAAAAGCTTGTCTAATCAAATGAGATTCAGGGTAAATGTTCCCAGAGATAAAGTTTGTTGGTTTTTTTTTTTTTTCATAAAATGTATGACTCAAGTGATAACTCAGTGTTGATATGATTGATTGATTTGACTGATATGATTTTTCACTGATGATATTTCAGTTTTGTGTTAAAATGTCAGCTGAGGAGGGAATCTGTACCTCAGGAAGCCCAACCATTGACCCCCAGGGGACAAAGTCCTCCAAATGTGTGCGCCAAAGAGTAGAGGGCTCCTCCAGTCACTTGGTGACCTTCAGCCTGCTCCCCCTGGAAATCGGCCTCCACCAAATCAACTTTTCCCTGGAGACAACGCTTGGAAAAGAAATTATAGTAAAAACATTGCGAGTGGTGGTAAGAAAAGCATTCTTATTTAAACATATCTTTTTCTGAAAAAAAAAAAAGTTATCAATCACGTATGCTTAAATGATTCAGGTGAGCGGAGGAAAGAAGGAGAAAAACAATAATGTAAATGTCACAGAATATTAACAGTTGAGGAATCTGAATGGAGGTCATTCTGATTTTTTTTTGTACTATTCTTGCAACTTTTCTGTGTGTTTGAAATCATGTTTAGATTTTTTAAATAAAACAACAGCACTTTTTATTGAAGAAAATATGAATACTGAAAAAAGCCACAGAAAGAAAGAAAGTCACCAATAATCCCCACACCCAGAGATTCACTAGTTTAACAAATTAGTATGTATCTTCCAGGGTTTCCCCCAGACAAATTCAGAAATTGCATCTTGAAATGTACATGTCAGATATCATGCTAGGTTCTGAAGTTAAAGCAAAAAATAACATATGACCCTTGCCTTTAAAGAACTTAACTCTCCAATTTATGAGTGAGTGAGCAAGCCAAAAAAGGAAGAAAATAATTATTTATTAAATACCATTAATCCCATAGTCTGTTAAATGTTTCCATGTTAATATTAAGACTCTCTTATACAATTCGTATTTGTCAATTTAGAACAATGTTAATTTAAACTAAGGTCAGATTCTTGGCAAGGTTCACATTGCTAGTTACTGATAGGTCTCCCTAGGTTTTCATTCTCCAAGCTCTGCTTTCAGTTGTGGAATTCCTTTCTGTGAACCTGGATTGAGATGTTCTGTGCAAGGCCCATTCCTGTGCATCCTTGCACAGATTCTAGAGCAAGCTGTTTGGCTTTGACTCTTGGCTCCCCACTTCCAGCAGTGTGACATTGGATATGTTACTCCATCTCTACATGTGTCAATTGTCTCATTTGTCAAATGGGAGTAATTATAGCACCTTCCTCATGGAGTTTTTCAGAGGTTAAAGAGTTAATAAACAGTTAATAAATACCAAGCACTTAGACAAGTTACCCAGCCTATCATAACTTAGACAAGTTACCCAGCCTATCATAACTTCCATTTAAGGGCTTGCTCTGATCATTATACAAATAGCCATGTAAGCATGCAAGTATTTATACATAGTTTGCTTTTTCAAGAAAAGAAGATTTTTTTAAATTGAGAAAGTAGACCAAAAAAGTTGATTCAAGGAATTCAGGTCATGTAAATTTAATTATATTCTTAACTGATGTTTTCTGCCTTTACTTTAGCCAGAAGGAGTCAAAAGGGAGAGTTATGCTGGTGTTACTCTGGACCCTAAGGGAATTTATGGTAGGAAAATGATTCTGTATTTTATGTGTTGTCTTTTTGCTCTAGAAATTGAAGTGCACATGTAACTTAAAATGCTACTTTTCAAAATGTTAAATGTGTAGAATCAGAAATGTCTGCTTCCTAAATCACCGACTTTATTGATAACATTTTTTATGCTATGAACTGTAGGATTGAGACCAAAGGTTATTCCATTAATTTTAAATGCAAAGCATTGAAATACTAAGAATTGTGTGGATTCCCTCATATGTCAGTTATTTTCTATCCGTCACAATAATAATTTATACTATTATGTTATATTACAAAGTCCAAAGAAAAGGTCATTTGCATAATTATTTAGCATGCATTATTTGAAAACACAATAATGTTGATCACTTTACAAATCCATTCCTTATTGCTCCTGATTCTTTGATTTTCCCTCAACTGAGATATGCAAACTCCTTGAAGCTAGACTCTTGTAAACGTTTGTGTATTAAGTCAACCCCTACACACAAATATACAATATATATTTCTGAATTTTTTAGAATGTGCTTTGTGAACAACTCTTCTCAACAAGGGAAGACAGACTGTCCTTCTTCATATTAAGTTGTTACAATTTACCTTTCTGTCATATTCAGTCCTTTCTGTTATTTTTTTCCATGATGCAACAGTGGGGGAAAAGACATTTACTTACAATTAAAGACCACTATACTCAGAGTTCTGTTTCCTCAGGGAAAGCAAAGTGCTACTACTTTTACATTTTAAATCAGCTGGGTATCACAAACAGCAGAGTAACAACAGAAAGCTCCTTCCAATGTGCATGTAGCCACCCAGGCACACACCCACAGAGGACACTCCTGAGTGGGCTAGGGGTAGAGACACTGCGTGTTCTGAGATCTGAGGCCTGGGGCAGGGCCCTTGAGCCTCAGCGCCTCCATGTCCTTTCATCAACAGTGCTTCCTATCCTGACATTATTGCAAGAAAAATCCCAGCCCCGTCTTATTTGTCCTATGTGTAAACAGTAGGGTCAAAGAGAGGAATGATCTTTTTATCTAGAATGAATCCCTCTAGGGAATTTCTTAGTTTAAAACTTTCTGGGCTGGGGATATAGCTCAGTCATGGGGCACTTGCCCAGCATGCACAAGGCCCTGGATTCCAACCCGGCACTGGGAAGGAAAACAAGTCTACGCCTCTTTCCCATCTTGTCATGTGACCTTTTTTCTTATGATTTTAGGCAACTTAGATTCAGGCAGTTTTGTTGCCTTCTAGGAAGCCAAAGAGGGTTAAGATGGCAATCAATTCTATCCAGTTATCTTATAGAGTTTATTAATACTTCCAATATTTATATATTGAAATTGCTATTCCACAGTGACACTCTACAGAATTCAGTGTTTTAGAAATAATCAGGATGAACCTGAAAAAGTACATGGATGATAATAATGTTAAAGGAAATATGAAAATATGTGTATGGGTGAGGGAGAATGGGGTCTCACAGCACACTGGGAAGCATTAGCCTTGAAAAATCTGGATAAGCATTTATCTGGACTATATAGTGGGACTGCTGGGTCAAAGGGCACACACATATTTAATGTCATTTACTCTTCAGTATTCCTGCGCTTCTACCAGCACAAGGGTCCTCTTCTCTCCCTAGCTATCACCAATTATTTCTGTTACTTACCTCTGTGAATTATGTCATTTTTTTTTTTGGATGGCTATAAAGTAATATCTCATTGTCATTTTAGTATCAATTATTCTGGTTAATTTTAAGCATCTCTTCATATATTTATTAGCTGTTTAAATTTTCCACCTGCCCATTGCCTATTCACATCTTTTTAACTTTTCCTATTTCCCTTTGGATTGTTCCATTTCTTCTTCATTTTGTCTCTGATATACTTTGAGTAACAGAAAATCTAAATGGGTTTTGAACAATGATTCTTTATACTGGGATAGTCAAATCCATCATAATTTGTCTGATTTATGATTATTTATTTTGGGATAATCTTTAAGAAATCTTCCTCTACCCTTAGTTCAAAAAGACATTGATGGATATCTCATTCTACTGATTTTACAGATTCAGCTTTTTAGCATTTTAATCTTTCTGGAATCTACCTTTTACATGTGATGTCATAATGGTTCTTTGCTCATGATCTCTTAAAAGAAGTAAAATTGACTTCCTGAGTTCTAACTTCCTCCTTTAGCTTTTCCATCTGGTAGCAGAGTTGTCAATGAGAATTAAAATAATCAAGAGCAGGTATCAGTGGAGAAAATGGCAGAGGCTCAAATTTAGATATTCACAAACACCTCTCTATAAATAAGTGTCATGCATCAAGCATGAACTGTATGCCAATTTCTCTATCTATACTATTTCACCTCACACACATCCTTTGAGGAAAAAAGTTATTACCTCCATCCAACTAAGAAACATACTGAATTATAGGTTGTGTCTTGCTCAGTGCCACATATTTTTAGGATGCTCTCTTTGAACTCCAAGCTCCATCAGCCATACTACAAGACTCTTAAATGCCTTCACTGACTTTTATCTTAATGTAATATCCTCAACACTTTTCTTTTTTATTTTTTATTTGTTTTAATTAATTATACATGACAGTAGAATGCACTTATATACTTTGTATATACATAGATGGGATATAATTTCTCATTTTTCTGAGTATATATATTGTAGAATCACATTGGTCATACAGTCACATACATACATACAGTAATAATATCTGTTTCGTTCTATTTTTCTTATCTCCACATCCCCTGCCTTCCCCTCCTTTCTACCTAATCTAAGGTAACATTATTTTTTTTTTGCATTACACTTCTTAATACACATAAATACCAACTTTTTGTATTTCTGTTTGTATATAAAGTATGTTGACACCCAATTCAAGTCTTCATACATGTACTTTGTATAATGATGTCCATCGCATTCCACTAGCCTTGTTAATCCCTCCCACCCCTCTTCCCTATCTAGATTTCATCTATTCCTCCCATGTTCTCTCTCCCAATCCCACTATGAGTCAGCCTCCTTGTATCAGAGAAAATATTTGGTATTTCAGGGACACAGCCACATCAGTGTTTATAGCAGCTCAATTCACAATAGCTAAACTGTGAAGCCAACCTAGATCCTTCAGTGGATGAATGGATAAAAAAAAATGTGGCATATATACACAATGGAATTTTACTCAGCATTAAAAAAGAACAAAACCATGGCATTTGCCGGTAAATGGATGGCGTTGGAGAAGATAATGCTAAGTGAAGTTAGCCAATCCTCCAAAAACAAATGCTGAATGTTTTCTCCTCTGCACTTTTCAAGGCTAATGGAGGAAGAGGTCTCATGAGGAACATTCCTGCATCTTTGGCAAAGCCATGTGGCTCGTCCATTAGATTGCAAACTGTCACTCATTTCTTCAGCATCTTCCATGAGCCAGGGACTTTGTGAACTTCAGTTTGAGTCAGAGATAGTTCCTGTCCTGAAAGAGCCTTCTTAGCAGGACAACAGGAGGTAGATTCTCTTTCTGGTGACTACAATGGACTCTGCAGTAAAACTTCCTCAGCTCAGATCACAGTTCCACCTGGGGTAGTGGCCTTCAGCCTTTCCAAGCCCAATTTTCTCATCTATAAAATTAAAATAATAAAAATAGACCTAACACACAGAAGTGTTGTGAAGATCCAATGTAATAACACATTTAAAGAATTTAGTGCAGTGCTTGGTACTCTATCAGTACAATGATAAATGTCATCATTTTGTGATATAAGCCACTGAGTGATTGTAATAGAAAAATTCTCCTGAGACAAGTATGCTAAAACTGCTGTTGAGGACATAGAGAAAAAAATAATATCTAAATTGGACTGACAGGGGACAGTGGAAAGAATTTCAGGTCATGCTTCCCAACAGTGTTCAAATAACCTTGACTAAGAAATTACATATTAGTTATTTTTAGATTTCAGTTCCAGGAACAATTTTCTCTCTTTGGACAAAATGGCATGCTACACTATACTAGTGAATAAACTTAATATATCCTATTTATTTCATGTCAGAAAGCTTACAGTCAAATTAAATATTTTATTTAAAAAGATTATATAAGCCTAGGATTTAATTTTCAAAAATCTTGATGATTTTTCTTTCTTTTAAAATTTTAATTGTTATTCTTGAAGTCTTTTATTCTGAAAAATTATTTGGCAGTAGGTACCTTATAAATAATCTGCAAATAGTCTCTTCCCCGAAGAAGTCTGTAAGTCTCATCATTTTTTAATTTACAGGTGTCATTAGCAGACGAAAGGAATTCCCATACAGGATACCATTAGATTTGGTCCCCAAAACAAATGTCAAAAGGATTTTGAGTGTAAAAGGTAAATTAATAAATCCCATTTTTATTACTTACTTCACTTTGTGCTTCAAACAAAAATCAAATATCCTCGTGATTATTGCATTTATGTTTCTGCAATTCCCTACACACACAGCTCTGCCCTTAAGCGTACCCTGTTGCTTGCTACTCCCACCCCCACACCCCTTTCAAATGCCTGATTGCTTCTGCAGCTGTCTTCTGCCACTCGCCCGATTTAAATGGAGATTATTAATTCTCCCATGATGGAGGGTAAGGGCTGTCATGGGCCCAGAGACCCCACTAAAATGGGGGTGCAGCTGCTTCTGGACTTAAAGAACTTTTCAGGGTCCTAACCAATCGTGCTCCACAGAAAGCTTTGTGATATGTTGCTGTCCTGCAGAATGACTGGTCCCAGAGGGGCTGTCTTACTCTATTTGTGCTGCTATAATAAAATACCTGAACCTGGGGAATTAATAAAGATCAAATATGTATTTCTCACAGTTGTGGAGGTTGGAGGTTGGAGATTATGGTTCTGGCAGATTGAGTGTCTAGCAAGGGCTGCTCTCTGCTTCCCAAGTGGCCCCGTGTGGCTGCAACCTCACATGGCAAAAGACAGGGGCAAAATGACAAAAACGTGTGGACAGCTTCCCACACCTCTCCTATAAAGTCATGATCCCTTCATGAGGACTGAGCCTTCCTGACTTAATCTCCCCAAAGCCTTCTAGTACCATCACCTTGGGGGTTAGGGTTCAGCATAGGAGAGGCACACACTTTGAATCCACAGCAGTATCTCTCCCTGCAGTATGTTTGCAGATGTGGCATCTTTGGTGGGTTCCCCCTGGTCTCTGGCCTTCACAATTCAATAAGTTAACACAATATGACAGGATGCCCTGACTGTATTTTATCTCAGACAAAACCTTGGAATCACAGATCATTGCTACTGGAAAGGACCTTTTTGATCATGCACAATCCTGTTGTTGGATTTATCAGAAAATGTCTTGCCTACGGCTGCACAGGGAGTTATAGCAGAGCCATCCCAGCACTCCCTTCTCCTGCTCTTTGCTTTGCTTCATGGGAGGATAGTTACTATGATTTACGATGGTCTAAATCTATCAGGTTGAATGGCAACCAGTTTGCCATGTTCTGTAGGCAGTAATCTGTCTACTGTATTATACCATCTACCACTCTAGATTACTATAAAATAGTAATGTTTTTAAGTCTTTTTTTGATTCTTTAAAGTTCACATTCCTAACCAGATGGTTCTTCTCGTCATTTTTGAGAAGCAGAGTAGAGATGGTTGATCCTCTCTCTTTAGAGTACACTGTTAGATGTTGATAGAAAGGGGATGTGCCTTCTTTGATTTCTTTTGTTTCAGGACTGCTTATAGGTGAAGTGCTGTCTACTGTCCTGAGTCCAGAAGGCATTGACCTCCTCACCCACCTCCCCAAGGGGAGTGCAGAGGCAGAGCTCATGAGCATTGTCCCTGTATTCTATGTTTATCACTACCTGGAAACAGGAAATCACTGGAACATTTTTCATCCTAACTCACTAACTAAGAAACAGAACCTGAAGAAAAAAATAAAAGAAGGTAAAAATAATCTATTTTACATAATAATCCAGTGGGTTTCAAGCAAATATTTAATTAAACTAGCATTTAAGTTGTGAATTATATAAAAGCTTAATTATAAAAGAATTTTAGGTGGGGGGGGAACATGAGTTGGACCCTACTATATAAACAGATACTATTTCTTTAGCATTTTGGCTTAACTTTCCAAAATGCCTGGATGGGAGACAAGACACCTGCATTCCAAACCCTATTGAACACTTCCTTCCTCTTTGAATGAGCTTAGAATGTTCTACTTGATAATTGCCAATTCAAGCAATTCCTTTGAGAAGTTCAGTGTTGGCCACAGGAGCACATGCTTGCTGCCCAACACCAAATGCAGTTTACTGCCCCCAGGGGCTGATACTCTTTGAGTAGAAATGGAGTTCAGTGGAGCTCTGTGTTCTTTTTCTGGTGCCTCTTAGGGATGGTGAGCATCATGTCCTACAAAAATGCTGACCATTCTTACAGCATGTGGAGGGGCGGAAGTGCCAGCACTTGGTAAGTAGAAGATTTTTTTTAACTTATATTGTCATGTAGCAGTTGATTAATTAAAGAATAGCTATGGGGAGGGGGCTGGGGGTGTGACTCAGTGGTAGACCACTCGCCTATCGATTCTCAGCACCACATAAAAGTAAATGAATAAAATAAAGGTATTGTGTCCAACTATGACTAAAAAAATTTAAAAAAAAGAATAGCTATCATAATGGAATTCCGTTCCTCCAGTTGCTCCAACTAAAAACCTATCTCATTCTTCACTCCTCTTTTTCTCTTACAACACACATCTGATCCTCAAATATCCTTGGCTGTACCTTCAAAACAGATCCTGAATTTGGCTAGTTCTCATCAACTCCATCACACCATCCTGGCCAAGCCAGCATCCTCTCTGGATGATTGCTCTAGCCTCCTCTAACCTTCTGACTTCAGACTTGGATCCTCTTTGGTCTATACTCAACACAGCAGCTGGAACAACTCTGTTAAAATGCGAATTAGGCCAGGCCACTCAAAACCATTCAGGAGCTTCCCATTTTATCCAGGGTAGAATTCAAACTTCTAAATGAGAGTTAGAAAGCTCTAGCTGATTTCCACGTCACCTCACCTATGTGATTTCTCCACACCAGGCAGGCTCCCACCTCTGTACCTTTGCACTGAGTGTTCCCTCTGTCTATTATCCCTCCCAGGTGTCAGCAAAGGCTGGTTCCCTATCTCTTTCAGGTCTTTACCAGAAGGCCCTTGCTGTATCATTCTATTTAAAATGGCGACTTGCTTTCATCCCAGCACTTCCTGTCCTTCTCTGTTTGTGTCCCTATTCTCCTTAACATTTAGTACTAACATTCTTCCTTATTCCACTGTCTCTCCCATTAGAACATAAGCTGCATGTGGGCAGTTTCAAATGTGCCTAATGCCTGGTACATGCCTGGTTCATACCGCGTCCTCAATAAGTATTTATTCAATAAATTATAACTTCTGTAATTCTGATAATTTGAGGAGAAGGTAGTCTGAATGAATTAAAAATCCTCATAGCAGTCTATTTTCAAAAAAATGCTATCATGCTTTGACAAAACACTTAACAAAACATACCTTATCAACCTTGGTGGGTTCCACTATGTGAAACACATTAAAAGAGTTTATAAATTACAATGATTTAATTTTAGATTTTTCCTTTTAACTACCAAGTGTCCCCAGGATTTCCTCCTTGGTCTCTGATTTCCTGCAGTCTCTCCTTTTGCAATCTCATCTTCGCCCAAGACTTCCATATCTTTATGCTGATGATTCCCTAATTGATGTATCCAGGCCTAACTTCTCTCCAAAGCTCTGCAGCCCAAGGCCTCAAGGACAATCTGTGCCCGATTCATTCTTTCCTTCTCAGACACACTTCTCTGTTCCTTTCATCAGTGCACGGCAATGCCCCACTTGTCAAGTCAGGCTTCTCAGTTGGCTGTTGACCCCTCCCTTTGCTTTTGGTTCCAAGTCCAATCAGTTATCATGTGCCACAGATTAGACTTCAGCATTGGGTCTACCACATGTAGGTGGCACATTTTCAAAGACTCATGGGTCCTGGGAGCACACCAACCAGAGGGTAACACTAGGTTACAGGAGTAGAAGGGTGTCAATGCTGACCGGAAAGTGCCACAAGATGAACTGGGAAACAAGCCTGGAGAACAGAAATCCTGTGACCTCTAGGTCAACACTAGATCCCTTCAAGAGGTCAGGGCAAGGCGGAGTAGATAGCATTTAGCCAGAAACAGGAGCACTTGCATGCAAGGAGTACTGTCCTTGACCCTGTAAGTTCCTTCAAAGAAATAATATGCATAAGAGGAAATAGCACCTGAATACCCACAAAAATTTTCTGGAGAAATAAAGGGCAGAAACAAAAAATATCATTCATTCTTTGAAATGTATACATATACAAAAAAAATATACTATTCATATTAACAAAACCCAGAATTGATGATTGTGAACTTTTTTGTGTTAGATTATTTTAATTCATAAGAGTCCCTTTTGTGTTTGATTTAAAAAAAAAAAAGGTTTTCAAAACTAGTAGCAAACTAGCTATCATTCTGCAACTTGCCTATTTCCTTCAACATTTAGTTTTTTAGGTCTAGCAACATAGGTAGATCTAGTACATTCCATTCATTGCATGCAGCATTATATTTTACAAATATATCACACATCATATGTTCCTTATCCATTCTCATTTGATGGACGATTTTTCCAATTTTCAGAAATTACACTCTAATGAGCATCTTCATATGTCTTTTTGCACACCTGCGAATTTCTATAGGGTGTATCCCCAGAAATGGAATTTCTGGGATGTAAGGCATGCACATTTTCAGTTTCGTTACATTTTTGTCAGATTTCTCTTCAAGGCAGTTTCAAACATTCTTTTCCACTATACATTTTTAGTATACCAGATCCAATTGTAAAGCTGGAGGAGCTAAGCCAGCCTAAAAGAGCTTCTGGAGAAGGTCCAGAACAAAAGAAAGTCAAATAACCTACAATTTCTCCTTTCCTCCAAGTCACACTTAAATTTTGAATTTCAGAGCCATCTAGAAAAGACAGCTTAGTGAGAAGAGGACCCAAAAAAGCCTGAGCCAGATGCTCTTGCTTCATTATTAACTAGTGAAGAGCTGTCTAAATATCCATTCCTGGAGGACTCTGGGTCTGAGGCAACCCAGGACCAAACAGAGGCAGATACACTCACTTAGACCCACTGGACATAGCTGTAAGCCAGAACTATATTTAGGTGTGGTCCTCTAATTAATCCTTATACCAGATTCCAGGAGTGAGAACCTTTTTTCTCTTTATTGCTGTTGCCTTGAAACTGAAGCCCAAGGAGGGTGCATAAGTGGCCAGATAGCTAACAGATGGAGAGGGAGACTGGCCTAGAACTACACTTTCAGGCTTCTCTAGGCTGCTAACAGAAAAGACATTCCCAGAAGCTAGATTCCAAAAGAGCTCCAGTGAGGATTCTTTTTTTTTTTTGTAGGGAGATGCTGGGGATTGAATCAGAGGCACTCAACCACCGAGTCACATCCCCAGCCCTTTTTTTTTTGTATTTTATTTAGAGACGGGGTACCACTGAGTTGCTTAGTGCCTCATTGTTTCTGAGGCTGGTTTTGAACTCACAACTCTCCTGCCTCAGCCTCCCAAGCTGCTGAAATTATAGGTGTGTGCCACCATACAAGGCCCAGTGAGGGTTCTTGAATATGGCCATCATGGAAGTGTTCCTCCTGCTTAGGAGCAAACCAGGGGATTGCAGGAAGAGAATCTCTCAATTCTTTTCCCTAAAAGTCAACAGAATAGAAAATGACCTTCTGATGTCATCAGAGGAAGATTAAGAAAAGGGACCCACATGGGGAGAGGCTGGGGCTGGGACTCAGTGGTAGAGCATTTGCCTCAGGCATATGAGGCACTGGGTTCGATCCTCAGCACTACGTAAAAAATAAATGAATAAGTAAAGATATTGGGTCCATCTGCAGCTTAAATTTTTTAAAAAAAATTAATAAAGCTATTGAAACAAAGATTAAGAACAACATAAAGACCCATAAATAGGTTCCTAGCTAAAATAGTTTCAGGCATCTGTACCAAAATACTGTAATATATAAAATCATCTGTGAAAGAATGAGGGAACTATGTTTTAATATAGACTCTAAGATATGTTATTAAATGAAAAAAGCCAAGTACAGGATAATGTAAATATACTGCTGCTTTGGTGTGGCTGGGATGGAAAGGTAACAGGGAGCTTTTTGTCTTGTCTTTAATATCTGGAAGGATCTATGAGAAAGAGTGGGGGTAGGGGGTGGATAGGAGGAAGATTCTTCGTTATCTATCCTTTTATGCATTTGGATTTTTGAATCATATGGAAGTTTTCCCTCTGAAAATTAATTACTTAAAATGCGTTTTTAAAAAAACAAATGATTTTGCAAAAGGCACAGAGGGGAAAGGAAGGGGGCCTGGGGAGAGGAAAGATGGTGGAATGAGATGGACATCATTACCCTGGGTATGTGTATGACTGCTCATATGGTGAGATGCTACATCGTGTACAACCAGAGAAATGAAAAATTATGTTGCAATTGTGTACAATGAATCAAATTGTATTCTGTTGTCATTTATACCTAATTAAAATAAATTAATTATTTTTTAAGTAAAAAAAAAAGCAAGTGAAAACAAATTAGATCTGGGATACAGTTCAGTTGGTAGAGTGCTTGCCTAGCATGCACAAGCCCTGGGTTTGATCCCCACTGCCATACACACACAAAAATATCTTATGGGTTGTGGCTGTAGCTCAGTGGTAAAGCATTTGCCCCCACATGATCCTCAGCATCACATAAAAATAAATAAAAATACTGTGTGTGCATCTACAACTAAAAAAATATTTAAAAAAAGAAGAAAGCAAATTAAATAAACCTACAAAATTTTAAAGTGAGGGGAAGTGGAGTGGGGGAGTCAAGTGGTTTGAGTCTGGGATGTGGAGAGGCCAAGAGGGAGCGGCTCTTGGGCAGCTAGAAAGGAAAGAGGTGATTGGGGAGGTCATGAATTCCATCCTGCCTAATAGCTCTGTGTTAGATCCTAACAGAGACTGAAATTGCTTTTTGTCTAAGCAATCCTGATGTTAAAAGTTCCTTGTGTCGTGGCAAGTTGTGTGTCAACAGCAGAGTTCAAGGGGAAGAAGTGAGATAAGACAATCCCAGGGGTGCTGGGAAAGGAAATTCAAGCCTTAGCGATTTAGATGCCAACACTGTGCAAATTTTACAACCTAGAATTTACAGTTTTACTCTTCCATGGCTTGTGTTCGTGCGTCAGTATCTTGACTCAAAATTATTTCTTTCACCTTGGTTTTCTTTAACCTTAGAAAGTTTTTTTTTTTCCTTGTCATTGGGAATCAGTTTTAGCTTCTAGGCTAACTAACACTGTTGTAATCACAGAAGACATGCTGTTTGCATTTATTATTGACTGAATGTTTTGGAAATCTTTCAAATGTCTTATCACCTTGTAAAATGGTGACTTCCTTTGGAATTGTGTTTTAAATTTTTTACTTTCTTTGGAAGCATAAAATTGTATGAACTAACACACCCTGCAAATTGAAAGCCAAAAGGAATTCAGCATTCTAAATATTTATTTGATTTCTGTCTTAAAGGTTAACAGCTTTTGCTCTAAGAGTACTTGGACAAGTAAATAAATATGTAGAGCAGAACCAAAATTCCATTTGTAATTCTTTACTGTGGCTGGTTGAGCATTGTCAGTTGGAAAACGGATCTTTTAAGGAAAATTCTCAGTATCAACCAATAAAATTACAGGTAAGGAAGTCAAATATACAAATTAGCAATAATTTTATTTATGAATTTCATTCTCATTCTACTAGGGGAAGATGAAGAAAAGAGGAATAACATATATGTAATCTAGCAGGAAACTCCTCTTGTGAAGAGGCAAAGAATACTAAAGCCTTCCTATACTCTCTGAGATGGAGAGATCCTCAAATAGCCCATTGGAGGTCAGATAAGTGACTGGTAGAACAGGCATTTGTGGTTCACATGGGGTAACTTCCAGAGATCTCAGAATAAGTAAAATATACTAACTTGTCTACCTCCCTTTGGTATGGAATCTGTACCTAAAGTTCACAGACTTCTTGCAGATCAAGGTGTTGTCGTGAAAGATGAGACCTTCTTTAGACCCTGTTAATAAGAGAGATGGGGGTCAATTTATTTTAAAAAGCAAAAGGAAGAGTTTTCTGATATTAACATCTACTTACAAACTTGAATTACAAAGAAATTTCAATATCGCTCCAAGGTAGCTCAGAAATTCCTTCTATACCTTACATAAGATTCAACAGAATTTTTTATCTGCCTGCTCTTATCCATTCCCTTTCATATCAAGCACAAGTGACCTCCATGATTGACAGTGGATCTCATAATGGTCCCTTGTTATACCAATAGCAAAATATTGGACTCCCATGAGAAATGGGGGCAACTAACATCATCAAGGTGCTATTTGAACAGTAAAATACTATAGCACATTTATTTTTGAGATACCCACCCATCCACCCATCCAACCATCCACCCATCCACCCATCCAACCATCCACCCATCTACCCATCTACCCATCCATCCACATTCATTCAACAACCATCCACCGAGCACCTGATACATACCAGGGCCTATTTGGGCATGGTAGGATGGAAGAGCCGAGAAGAACGGACCCCGAATAGTATCCCTGACACAAAGAAGCTCATACACTGGTAGAGAAGGGAGGGTACCAATGCTAGCCTAAGCACTAGCGACTCTCATCAAGATATCTGTGGGTATGTTCACTAATGTACTTCATAGGAGTCAAGAGATATTTATTAAGTACGAGGTGGCAGGGACCCAGCCATGAACACAAGCAAAGTGGCCACTGCAGCCTCAGAGCTCAGGACCCAGCAGAGAAGTCAGACGAGTCTGTGGCACATACTAAGAAAAGGAAAAAAATAGTCCGGCATGGTGGCACACACCTGTAGTCCCTGTGACTCAAGAGGCTGAGATAGGAGGATCCCAAGTTCAAGGCCAGCCTGGGCAACTTGGAGAGAGCCTGTCTCAAAATAGACAGCAAAAAGGGCTGGAGGGGTACCTCAGTGGTACAGCACCCCTGGGTTCAACCCCCAGG